TATTATTATAATTACTAACATGCAATCATAAAAATAAAATACAGTTACCGTATTTTAATTAGTTATATGAGCTCTAAAGCTCTATTATGGATTTCCAAAATTACTTTGTTGTGATCTGCCATCTTCACTAAATGTTTCGTTGCATTGTAACTGTTAGAATTTTAAAGAGATGTTGAAAATATATACATATATTCAATATCAAAATTGAAATGTATAATGTTTGACCACTGCATTTTATACAGCTAGAAAATTTCCTCCCTTTTCATTTAAAAAAATTATATATAAAACATAAGCATAAAATGTTTTATCAAATTATCCTAAGTTTTTAAGATATGCAGTGTACTCTCGATTATCCAGGTATGGATAATCCATGTATGGTGGTGCCCATATGCTCAACATGATCTGGAAGATTGTGTAAAAAGCAAACATGGACCTGTCCGAGCATGCTGTAAAAACTATTGAATTGTGTCTTTAGGTTTACTTTCAATGATTACCTGATACAAGGTGTTCTGCATATGCATAGCTGAAGAAATTGTTTTGGTTGATCATTAGGATTTTATCATTTGGCACATATTTTTGTGCATATTTTCTTATTCTTTTAAAAATTAATTTAAAATTTTAGAACTAAAAATTAAAAAAGATCATGCTAGAGGTTCCCCCCCCCTCCAAAGGCAGATTGTGAACAGTTACAGGGTAACATAGTTCATTAATCTACACAAGGCCAGATGTGGTGGTCTCTTTATTATGGAGGCACCTAATAGATGGGCCACCATCGCCTCCTATGAAGGGACGGACAGTTACAGCCATGCCTTCTCGGGATTCAAACCGAGGCCCTTCGGTATCGCAGTCAGACTTCTCTAACCACTATACCGTCTGGGCGGCTCATGCTAGAAGTAATAAGTGCAAAAGGTTGTTTTAAAATTGAAATAAAAACTTACGGTAATTGAAGGATTTGAACATGGCTAACTGACGGTAAAGCTCACTGAAGATTATGGAATTAGCATGGAAAACGTTTGTGATATTCTTAAACAAAAAAATGAAGTTAAAGGCCATCACAAGAAATTGTGACTGTGTGGCAGGTCTTTCTAGCAGAAAGAGCATGAAACTTTCAACACATGAAAACTTAGATTCAGTTACTGACATAGTTTAACCAGAAATCACTATGCCAAAAAAATTGAAAATGTAAAATTCTTCGAAAATGTTAGTCAGAAAATCATCGACGAATGGCAGTTCAACTGAGCCAGACTTTCGATGAATGAGGGATGTGGATATTGTTTTAAATGTCATGAAAATAGAAGAGGCATAGAGTGATACTGAAAATACAAGTTAAAAAGATACTGACAGTTACATTGTTTGAAGAACAGAAATTAGCAATGACTTCTGTTGAAACTCTATTGGAGTTTATCATGCAAAGCGGATTCGAATACAATGATAAAGTAGCACTTCATCAAACAAACAGTGAAATTTGACAATTAAATATTCTCAAAAACAAAGTAAAATAACTGATTTTTTTTAAAAGGTATTCACATACAATATGCGTGAAAATTGATTATTTAGATAATCCAGGTTTTTCAATCATCTACGATTTATTTCCCCTGCACTAGCTTGTATAATTGAGAGTTCATTGTTCTATAATAAATTAGAATAATGAATAATAAATTAGAAGTTTGATTAACATTTGAAGGCTTTCATTTCCTTCTAATTATAAATGTACTAATATATGTTATTTAATTCAGGGAAATACTACTTTTTACTGGTGTATTTTTTATCTGTTTACTGTGCTACGTCTTTAGCAATTAACTTTAAGTAGTTTTACCTTATCTTTATAAAAATAGAAATCAAATTTACTAATTATCTAGAAAAATATATATTTAACATATAAAGTGAAATATTTTGCATAGATTGTCAAGAACATGTAGCTTTCCTTTTAAATTTGAATAACTATGGTCAGTTAGCAGAACATGAATTCCATCAAGTCATGGAACTTTTGGAGGTAGCAATACCTCTTTATGGTAGTGGATTAATATCTCAAAGCTGATTATTTAACTGCATCATATAGAAGTATTTAATAGGTGTGTAATGAGGTAATAAAGAGAGGAGGGCTCAAAATCACCTCTTCAGACTTCAGTAATTGTTGATTTATTAGAAGCTTATGTCATGATAGAAGATCATAAATATGAAAAATTACTTCAAGAATAGAAATCATTCTTAGAGATGGGTACAAAATGTGCTACAATTATTATATAACTTCGCATTTCTCAAGATAGTGTAGTTGCCCTAGTGTTCTTGCATATTTAATCTCTACAGTAGCAGTTGCTGTTTTATCTGAATGGAGGGAGTCTGCTGAGGTTTCTTCAGGCATTGCTGCTAAAATCTTTCTCAAGAGTTTGCATCATGCCTAGGCTTGAGAGCTTTGGAATTGAATATTATTCTGGTGTAATGTAGACAGATGTACAGAGAGCTTGCTCTTAGCAAAAACTGAATGAATTGATGAGTGTAGAATACCAGTTGGCATAGTTTAAAGCTATTGCTATGTCTAGCAGGCCAGGGCTAGACATTCTGCCACTCAGTGCAAACCTCCACAACTCTAAAATTCTGCCATCTGGTTCCTTCCTGAATTCTAAAAACTTTGCTGTTCCTAGATACTGCTGCCTGATGCAGCCCCACTAGTTGCACATGTTCTGGCACCGGTTTTGATACCTAGAGACCCCTAACCATTTCCACTGTATAATCCAGATGATACTGGACTATTCCAACAGCAGAGAATATAGTGAACTTCTCATAAACCTGGGGCTGATATACCAGACTTTGTTTGTTTATTGCAGAATGATTGGAAATGAAGGAAAAAAAAACAAACAAAAAAAAAAAAAAAAAAAAAAAAAAAAAGATCATCAGTGTAAAAAAAAAAGCTGTGTGTGGACATTATGAAAAGAAAAAGGGAAATGCATGGCTTAGTAGCAGTTACAGTAGATGACCTCATGGAATTTGGGAATTGCTTTTACCTATAGTAGTATGTAATCCAGTATATATAAACATCATTAAATTATAAATAAACATAAGTAATTCATTCATAAAAATAAATCAAATGTACAACATTAAGTTTCACATTGGTTCCCTTTTGAAATATTAGAATAATATAGTATATATGTTACGGTGAAACAACGGAATCTGGAGAATGTCGACTTTCACCGGTAAATGTCAACATTCACATAGTCTCTTGGTGTATGTCCGAAATATTTTCCAAATACTCTTATTTCTGACTTACACTGGTCAATGTCAACATTCACCATGTACTAATGGTGAATGTTGAACATATAACAATATTATACTCGTATTTTCTTCTCCGTAATTCAGTCGCAAATAAACGCACTTGAAACTTGAAATAAAAACTTAAGAACATGAGAACCTAAAACACACAATACATTCAAAATGAGAAAGGAAAATAATAGAAGTTAAAAACTACTTATTATACAGTATGTTCTAAATGAGAAAAATAAATAACAGTAATAAAAAACTTACTAAATTATGTGATTCAAATCTTATTTATTGCAACAACTTAAACTATTATGGCACTTTATGACTTCTCTTTTCGACTTTCACCAGAGCATATCTGTGATTGTCAACATATACAGGTGAGGGTCCGAATATACAAGAATGTAGTGCAATATTTGATCTTTCACCGACGGTGAATGTTGATATTCCCCGGTGAAAGTCGATATTCTCCAATTTCAGTCTTTCACGGTAACATATATATATTATAAGAAAAAGCATGTGCTTCCTGAAATGAGAAAAAAAGAGTGTATGCATGCAATGCTTGAGAGAGAAAGGAAACTTTTAATGCTGCTCTAATTGCAAAACCAAATGAACTTATTCTTTATATTAAATTGCTTGACAATGCAGTTAAATTGGTAAAGCTATTTTTGTGTTCATTATGATATAGGTTATCCCTCTCCCCCCTTTTTTTTTCAAATTGCGTTTAGATTAATCATGATCTTGATTTGGTCTTAGTTGTTTATCATATATCCATCTATTCAAACATTCCTAGGATAATATTGAGCAGTTCATTGAAGTTATAGTTAACAAAACAGAATTATAAATAGGGAGAGATTTTACAAGCATTGATTATATTGCCAAAGCAGTGCCATCAGCTTGTAGAATTCATAGCCTGTTTGCTATAAACTGTAATCATCTGTGCTAAGGAAGGGTTTTACTCGCACTTGTTTTCTAATTATCTGCCCTTACCGATAAGTATTTACAAGGTAATGTACTATGTTGCCAGAACAGGCAACCCATAATGTAACCAAAATGTATTTATATGGCAACCCATGTATGTGCAACAAATGAACAAGGATTTCCTCCTTCAAAATTGAGGGCCGTTTTTCTGATTAGTGTTTGTTTCTGCACTGAGTAAATTTTTTTCCCTTGTAAGAAATCATAATAGAACTATAGAGTTGGCCAACTGTGAAAAAAAAAGTGTAGCATTTTTCAGAAATATGTCATTTTACCCAATAGTAGAGAATGCAAAAATTTACACACTATAAAGTTATACTTCTTAAAAGATCAAATTTTATGAATCGAAATTTGTGCATTTCTCTGATGTTTTTTAAAGCAAAAACAGGTTGCTGTGTATGTAGGGAGAACAACAGGAAAAAAAAAAAAAGTAAGAATTTCTTGAAAAACGGAAGTGTTTCTTTATGTGGATACTTCATGCTCTTTTATGGTATTCTTAGTGCACCACCATTTTTAAAATAGCTGTTGTATTTTGTGTATTAGTTTTTCAGGGGGGCTACAGATTATCAGAAAGTACTGTTTTGACTTTTAAATATAAATGTATAATATTTTGTAAAAAAAAAAAAAAAAAAAAAAAAAAAAAAAAAAAAAAGGAGAGAGGTAAGACTTTTTTACAAATTTTACTAATTAGAAGATTTTGATTAAAAATTGTTTTTAATAAATGTTACGATAGAAATAATTTATGAACAGATAATATTTATTCTTTAAAGTGGAGATGACTGTAGGAAAACTTAAAGCTCTTGTGCAAAGGATCTTCAAAGTTGGTGCCCAGAATATAACATTAACTCGTTTGTTCAAAGAGGTAAGATGATAATGTATAATATTTGCATTATATATATATCAGATTTTTAGTCAATTTATTTATTTATATTATTTACTTATCAGCTATGATGCAGAAGTAAAAGTAATCCTTATATTTCATTAATAGAAATAAAGTTCTAGAAATATATAATTACCTTCTTTTTAAAATAATTAATGCAGTGTGACTTTTAATTATAGCTTCCTGCACAGTTGCTTAAAGGAAGTACAATTTACTATCATTAACAGGAAAGGCACAATAATTCAAACTTTGTCACTAAATTTCAGCTTATAAAGATAGTGTAAGAAAACTTTTGATGTATTTCAGGATGAATCTCAGAAAACAGAAATGGATAATAATCTACGTGAATTATCTTATTATTCATTGTCAGACCAAGATAAAATAGCAGTAGAGTGGTAGAATATTTTGTAAGTAAACTATTTTTATCACTTTATTCTGAAATTAGATCGAAACCTTAACAATAAACTTCTATCATGTAAACTAATTTGCTTAATAGAAATAAAATGACTATGAAGATTATCAAAGAGTTCAATCAATCATCTTAAATGTTGAAACTTTTTCTCAGAACTCAAGATTCCTAAAAAATATTGTCAAATAATAATACAGGCATAAAAATTAATATTAAAAAGATGAGATAATCACAGAAAAGATTGCTTAACTGTATTTTTTCCCTTCTTTATGGATTTCTTAGCCTATAGTTCATCATATTGCTATCTATTTTATATATGTTTTTAAATTTTTATTAGCCATTACTAGCACAGCTGGTTCAGAAAGACCTTGTATCAGGTTTTTAAATGATTCTGTGGTTTTGTATTTATTGAGCTAATTTCCAGATACTGTTAATGTTTCCATTTATTGAAGTACCTCTTGATTTCTTTCATTTTTAGTAACTCACGTAAACCAACATTTCCTAAACTTTTCAGATATGAAAAGGTTGAAAAATGCTTCTGTATTTCTTTTTTTAAAAAAAGCAAAATATTCAGTTCTTCAGTTAATTCATTTGCAAAATGTCAAGTATATCAATAGAATAGCAAACATCAGATACTTTGACATGTAATTTTTATGTAAAGGATGTTTTATGTTGGATATCCCAATTACTTGTCCATGACAATTAAGAAATACCCCTCCCTTTTTGATTTTGGAAAACTTTTCTTGTGTAACTTCCTTTTCCTTTTAAGTTCCTTCCTTTAAAAAATTATTTCATTCTTGTTGACTGATTACATTTTTAAATCTGGCTATAAGTTAGTGGTGCTCAAACTATTTTATAGCACATCAGTTTATACATTATATTCACCAAGCACTTTTTTGTTTTTGCAATCTGTTTTCCATTTTTTTCCCTCTATGACTTTCAAAGAGTGAAACTTCATCAAGGTACAGCAAGAAGTCATTTTTCGAAAGGTACCACTGCATTCCTTAAAAAAACATGAAGACTGATACATATATTGCATATATTTTCAACGTATTCCTGCGAAGCCACCCTGACATTACCCTATGAACTGTTGTGCCTTTAGCCTCTTGAACAGAGCTGTTTCTAAGCATTAACCCAACTGATTGATGGACTCTAGAAAGTACTGGAAGAGGAATGAAAATGAATATCCCTGAAATTTTACAAAAAGCCCTTCTGTCTGGAAATCACAATGCAGACATAGTCCCCCCCCCAAAAAAGGCTTTCAGAATGAACATTTAAAAAAAGCTTTTCACATTTTAAAATTTATTAAATAGTGCCAGAATTATTCTAAAAATGTGTAAACACATTTGTAATGTACCTTCAAGATAGTATCCTAAAATGATAAGTTTTAAAAATTATTATGAGTGTCCGATAAATTCTTGAGTCTATTTATTTATTAGAATACAAAATTTAATAAAATATGACACATTTATTTTAAGAAATTTATTATTAAGACACAATAACACGCCGAATAAATACTAATTCAGAAGTCAAACAACAAAAATCAGTGTTATATTTACAAAATTTTCACAGGACTAGTTTCGATGGTTTTACCGAACCACCATCTTCAGCTGCAAAACCGCAAATGAACCAGATAGGAAATAATGATTAGATAAGATAAGAAAGCCTGGACAAGAATAAGCAAGTGGTGCCATCTGTTGGTGAAACAAGAACTAAAACATAATTTCTTTAAAGGCCGAAGGCAAATTTGGATTGGAATTAGGATCGTTAACTAGAACAGAAAGATTTTTATGAATGTGAAATGCCTCTAGAAAATCCAGTTCTCCAATGGAAGATGTTTTTTGAATAATTTTGGCAGCAGAAAAACTGAAAGTGTGGTTTTCGGACCAACAACGTTGAGCAACAGAAGACTTCTGTGTTTCCTTTTTTCTAACATATGCCTCATGTTCCTTGACGCAAAATTTTAAGGCTCTCTTACTTTGGCCAATGTAAATTAAACCACACTGGCAAGGAATCCTATAAATACCCCAGGAATTCATATCCGGAATGGGGTCCTTGAGTATGGAACTCGGAATTTTATTGATGGGAGAATAAACAACCCGAAAGTTAAATTTCTGCAAAATATGTGCAACTTTATAGCTAATTGATGGAAAGAAGGGAATGACAACAGAATTTTTATAATCTCCTAAAGCAAGAGTGTGCCTTTTAGTGTGTTGAGATGAGAATTTTTTAACTGCTTGCTGAATAATGTTGGGTGGAAAGCCCCTGTCAATAGCTATTGCTTTCAAATAATTTAGTTCTTCATCAAGGGCTAGTTTGGAAAAGCAAACTTGAAGAGCACAGAAAACATAGGAATAAAATGAAGCTAACTTTTGTTTAGTCGGATGACATGATTTAAAGTGTGGTGGAAGGCAAACCGATGAAGGTTTACGGTAAACCGTAGTACTGAAGTTGGATATGTTACGTGTGACCAGAATGTCGAGAAACGGAAGAGAATTGCAAGTCTCAAGTTCAAAAGTGAACTGAATAGTAGGATCAATAGAATTCATTGTTGAAAGAACTTTATTTAAATCATCTTTATTACCTTCAAACAGAGTAAAAGTATCGTCTACGTAGCGGAACCATGCCAGGAAGTTTAAAGTTTCAAACAATTTTGATTCATAATAATGCATGTAGATATCAGCCAGGATGGGACTGAGGGGGCTTCCCATGGCTAATCCCTCAGTTTGCTTGTAATATTTATTTTGGAAAACAAAATGTGTTTGTTTCAAACAGAGACAAATTTATTATTATTTATTGCTGAAAATCATTAGTTCAGTGTTATATTGCAAAATGTAATTTTATTATTAAAAAAAAAAAATAAGATTTTCTGAAATTCATTTAACTTAATGCTCTTATTATTTCAGAAATGTACCTTTTTAAGTTATAATATTTACTTATAACAGTTTTTTTTTTCCAGAATTTTGAATGAAGAAAAAGCAACTTTGTAATTTGTTCTACATCTAATAATATATTACATTTATATAATTAAACTGCTTCGTTTTTAAAATGTGTTCAATTTTTATTGGAACATTTCCTTTGAGTATATCCTAATATTCCATTGATAGAATTTAATATTTATACTTTTTGTGCATTTTATTAAATTTAAAAATACAAAAATATCACATCTTTCCGACCACATCCAATCTAAAAACCCTATGAAGAGAATTCATATATTTTCTATTTCTTTTATTTTTATAAAATAAATTTGTGCAGTTCTTTGTATTTTTCTCTTATTTAACTAACTAAAATTCATGTATTGTAATTGTCAGTCTAAAAGATAGCTAATTAAAATTCATCTATTCAAAAAATTAATATCAAGTGTTTCATATATTAGTTCATTTTAAACAGTAAACATATTAGTTCATTTTCCCTTAACATAATACTTCTATTGCTTTATATTTACCTTTAAGCAGGAATATAATGTTACCAAACAGGCAGTCTTGATTTTTAATGATGCTTAGCACAGAATAGTTACTATGTTTATAGGTTTCAGTTCAAATCCTAAATAAGGTGGGGATGACTTGCATTTTTTCAATACAGGAACCCTAAAAAATTATCTTGAGAGCCTGTTTGTAAAAGAACCTGAAACACTTGGATTCTATCTTCCACGATGCTGTTACTTAAAATGTGGATATAGCTTGGTTGATAATCCTCATATTTTGCAATAATTACTTCAACCATTGGAAAATGCAGTGCGAGGGGGATCTATTTTCTGAGAATCAAACTACTGGTGTTTTAATGAGATCAAAAAACTTTGAAATAAAAAAAAAATAGCTATTGTATTTAAGTCTTTTCAATAACTAAATTTTTGCAAAATCTATTTTTCACATGTGAAAAAATGTAAATTTGATGAAAGAAAAAACTGTTGAGTTGTAGTTATAGTTTTTGAAAAAAGCCACGTAACATATGAGAAATATATCACGACTTCCTTCCACATTGGATTACATTATTTGAACAAGGCACAGCAAATTAAGGTTGCTGTCATGGAAAACTTTCTAAGGGAAATTGGATTGTATTAACATTACAAATGAGGAAGACAACAAGATAACCTATTCAATACCTATGAATAGATCTTACGGTAAACTAGCTGTATTTCATAACTTTAACCATTGAACACCTTATCGAACAGTGTGATAGCAGTGATGTTTAGTATATGAGAAAGTATTTTCTTCAACAATTAATGTAAAACAAATTAATAAAATTAATCAGAGATATGTGCTTTAGTTTCTAAATTTTGATAAAGCATGATTTAGAAATAACAATTTAAAAGTCTCCTTTTAACAACCATACTTTGTCTTTACATATATTTATCTGGCTTTTTCTATTAAGCACTCTCTCAATATATAAAATTTAAATTAAATCCATCAATTCATGAATATTTTTGATGAAAAGTTAGACATTTCAAGATCTAGAAAGGACATTGATAACATAATTTAGAAAATATAATAGTGGATTTCTTTAAAAGATTATAAAAAATTCATAATAGCTGAAACTCATTAACTTTCATAAATACTAATATAATATAAATATTACTGAATTCAACTATACCGTACAAATCATTGATAAAATTATATCTTTTAAAAATTAAAGACTTCTCAATTTTTGGCAGGATTATATGGAATCCTGAACATGTTTTATTTCCTCTTATTTTTTAATAAAAATTTCATTTATGTGGCTAGGTTCATTACTTTATGAACAACTAGTAATGAAGAAATTTTTATTCTATCTGGGCTTTTTTTATCCATATACATTTCATACTATTTTTGGTGAATTACTTTTTTTTTTTTTTTTAAATGAGATGTTTATGCACAGTTTATGAAATACAATATGTGAAAATACATGCAAAAGGAAAACATGGAAAAAATATTTATTACAATAAAAATATGTACAGCCTACTTATATGAACATTTATTTACAATATTAATCACTGTCACTTCCAAAGATTTCTTCCTCATCTCTTTTCTTCTGATCATCTGCCTCTTCAGCTTCGCTCTCACTAGAAGAGGAAGATGAAGATTTAGAGCTAGAAGCCGATTTGTTACTTGCTCTGTCATTTTCTTGTTCCTTTTCTTCTTCCTCTTCTGATGCCGCCTCTGCTTCAGATTCTTCCTCTTTTTCATCATCGTCTTTCTTTTCAGCTTCACTTTCACTTGAAGCGGATTCTGCAAATTAAATAAATTGAATTAATATTTTGAGCAAAATAAAAATATATAATTCAATTTAAAATAATAATTATTAGAACTTTTGAGAACATTAAATTTTAACTTATAATATTTGAACTTTTTTAAAATCCTTAATTTTTAGAAAAATATACTTCCTTGGTCCAAAATTTAAACATCCAGACATTTACTCAGAAACCTTACTGCAAGTAAATGTAATAGTCATATCTAATTATGGGGCAAGATCCAAACATTTTTAGATTTAGTATATGATTTTTTTTACTATCAAAAAATATCCATGCATAACTATTTTCAAGATGATCCCTTAACTCTTTCCAGCACGCTACCTTTTAAATTTGGAATTTTGACAAAAAAAAAAAAAAAATATTGCACAGTCTATGGGCCTCGAGGCATATACAGGTAAAATTTTGTGAAGATAGCACTTATTTTAATTCTGTGGGGTGCCCGAAGCAGGCACACTGAATCACTAGAGCTTTAAAACGAGTGCTGAAACGAGCACTGCTGGGAATCATGTAAAAGAGTAAGAGATTTTGCCTATGATTAAATAACACTAAATTCATAATACCGTAGCAGATTTAGCATTACCCAGGGTGTGCCACCGTGAGGCTTGCTACTCTACACCCACCTTAAAAAAACTCTTCTCGGCTATTTGATGATTACATGCGTATAAATTTTCCATTCATACGCGTGTAATCATCATATAACCAAGAAGAGCTTTTTTAGGGTAACTTGGGTATATGAAAATTACATTTTCGTCTATTTTTTTCATAGTGTTACTTTTTGAAGAAAGTGACACCACCTTTCAAAAAGCACAACCCAATATTGGATGCTTTGCACATGTACCAGGATCCGTATCAGATTCACTATCTGAAAGTAATTCGTGTAGCACTTTCAGTGATTCAGAAATGGTCAACCCTCTCTGATCTATTTGGAAAATAATTAAAAATCCTAAAAATAAACTAATATTACACTACAATTTGAAATTTTAAAATAAAATAAAATAAATATCTACAATTGAAAACTATGAAACATAGCAATAACAAAACTTCTTTGAACGAAAGAGAAAAAAAAAAAAAAAAAAAAAAAAAAACAGCTAACTGATAAATTACTTCAACAATTTCTTAGTTGATAACCAAACCTCCAAAGAAAAACAGGAAATGAATCGCAGATGTGGATCCACCTTTCTATAGTCAATGAACTGACCGGAGAGCTGCAGAGAAGCAAAGATACAGGTGTTGGTTTAGTTTTAGTCCCTCAGTGAGCCCATTCTGGGCACACCTGAAGTTCGCTGTTCAATTTTAGGCAAGATCTCAAGGTAAAAATTTATAACTACTATAGAATAAGGAGATTAGCACACAGCCAAGAAAATAACATGGAAATTTCTTTTCAAACAATTCTTTTTATATCCTTAAAAAAAAAAAAAAAAAAAAAAAAAAAAAAAAAAAAAAAAACATCTGGAAGATTTCTTTTAAAAATTAGGGTCTTTAAAAACAAAACATGGCTAAAATATATGGACTGGTTTGTGTTGTGTTGCCATCTAGTATAAATAAATAGTTCAGAGTAACATATAAATCGTTTTTTATTCAACTTTTCTGTGCGTACAGAAGGAAATTAGGAAATTTTTAGGCCACAAAGGGTTAATAAAACTTTTAGCAGAGCTAAAACACCTTCTAGAAATAATGCAGCAAGCTATCTTTTGCAACAACTTAAGATGCCTATTTCAATGCTGGGTTACTTTATTGTGTTGATATAAACCTGCATCTCTGCAGATTTTATTTCATCCATGGAAAGATACAAAAATTATAGGACAGTTAAATGAATAAATGGGATATGAAAGCATTTTAATAATCCTATGAAAATTTTATGACTATTAAGGATTCAAGCACAGTCAAATTATCATCAAGATTGTACCATCGTTTATTTCCCAGAATCTCTAGCTGTTTAAGATGGATAAACTCCAACAAATGAAATAAAATATTTAATGCTCCTAATTCACTGTTTTGGTTTCAAAAAAATTCAAGATGGATAATGTCATAAGTATAAAGAACATCTCCAGCATGACTCTGCTGCAATCCTACCATTATATTTTTGGTCACAAAGAGGACAATTTTCATATTAAAGAAACATGCTTAATAAATTCTCATCGTCTATTTATGATTATTTTACCTATATGTATACGGTAAAAATAACAATTAAAAAATATATTGCTCCTGGCTTCAATCAGTTAACAGTGGCACAGAGTGTTGCCACTGTTAAAATCTTACTAGGAATCGATAAAGCTTTTTATGGTGAAAGCAGAAAAGGTCTATCAAAACTGATTAGATTTATGGCAACACCTAAGGCCTAACTGGTCCAACATTAGTACAATTATGTTAAAAGATGATAAAACTCAGGAATACTACTAAGATTCTTCGTCAAAATACACTGGCAAATAGTCTCCAATAAGTAAGAAATTTTAACAATGTGCTCAATGACTCAAAAACAATTCTGATACACATACTGCTACATGAATCAAAATTTTCTCACCTGCAGATCGACCAAAATGCAAATATCTTCAGTGAATTTTCAATCCTCTTTAAAATATATTTATATCATCTGTAGAACTTTTCTTGCCATTATAAAATCACTATATGCCTTTCATTAACATTTTTGAATTCACCAGCTATTTTATCAAAATGCTGAAAATGATTGATGTTACAACACTACTCTAGAAAAATCTGCTTCTTAAAATGACTAATTATGGCACAATCATCTGTATGTGCAATTCATTTACATTCCACAGGGAAACCATTTTCACTATAGGCAACATTGTAACTTTAATTACATGTTTGTATTAAAATGGATGTATACTATTAAATATACCAAATAAAATCACATAATGATAGACATTATCATTTAGAATTCATACATTTCTCACAGGCAATAATAAACCTGTTTAAAAAGAAACCAAACTTTGAAATTAGAGTGTTAATGCATCAACTTGGGAATCTCGCTGTAATGATGTGGTGTAGCATTAACCTTGAAATTAAACCTTGCTGCTTTTTTCTCTAAAATACCACATCATTTTGTCATTGTTTAGGAGCTGTCGAATAAATGTATATTTTCTGTTCTTAGTTATTTACATTTTGAAAATGAAAGATCTTGAAAAACAATGAGCTTCAGTGAAGTTTTGTGTAAAATTACCAAAAACATTTATTAAACCATTTCAGATATTGCAACAAACTTGATTGACTCGAGAGGATTGTTTTAGCCAGTCTCAATGGTACCTCGAATCAGGCAAAAATCCACCAAAGAAGACCTAAGGAACAAGCACCCTTCCACGTCAACAGGCAATCTTCACATCAAGAACGGGTGTGCAAGAATCCATGCAAATTATTGTTTAACTGTCCACGAGATTGCTGAATATCTAGACATTACTAAAATGATCATGGAATCTTTATTGAAAATCTACAGATTAATTGAGCTGCAGCAAAACCTGGGCACCATCTCTGACTGATATGCAAAAATGAATGATGCTGCAGCTAGTCAGGAGCTGTTAGATGATTCAAATGCAAATCAAAACTTCCTAAAACACAACAGGTGATGAAACACAGGTTTACAGATATGACATTAAAACAAAAAAGCAATCACCACAGTGTGTAAAAACAATAATCACCATGATAAAAAAAGACATCAGAATCAATCAAAAGTATAATGTTGATTAAATGTATAATTTTAATTTAACAAACTCATGATAAATAATCCTTGTGCAGTCAAGAAAAGTGATCAACATTATTCAATTTAAATAATGATCATGTTTCATTTTCACTTGTTAAAGTCAAATATCAGCACACAATTTTATTTGGATGTTTGAGGCATTTAAGAGAAGCAGTTTGACAGAAGAGGCCTGACATTTGGAGAAAAAAAGACCTGGATACTTCACCTTGATAGTGTACCTGCACACTCATTAATCTTTATTCACAGACAAACACAAAATGATTTCCATCCCACAGCCTGTGTATTCTCTTGATCAGCCCAAGGACACTTTTTTCTCCCAAAGTTGAAATAAAAAGTCAACAATTTAATAACAGAAATCGAAGAAACTTTAATGCAAGACTCGCATGCAGTCCTACAAAATGATTTCCAACAATGGAAAAACATTAAACGTAGTGTATAAATAGAGGAGGATAATATTTTAAGGGAGACAGGTCTGATTAAAAGCTAAGTTTCTTTTTGGACAGATCTTACATACATTCTCTCTTCCGTCAGTTCAATTCTGCTTTCAAGCAGATGACACTTGAAATCTTTAACCTAAAGAAGCATGTATAAAACAAACCTCATTATTAAAGATTAAAGTATATATATAAAGGTTTACAATGACATTTTGAGCTTAAGGTTCAAACTTTGTAAGATTCAAGACCTATTTCAATTCATAGAAAAAGATGTGATTTCGAGTAACTAGTATATGTGTAATGTTCTTCACAAACGCAAAAATGTTTTATTAAGCACAGTTTAATTCATATCGAGAAGATAATTAAAATTTGGAGTACATCATATTAAATTTTGTAGCAATTTATTTAATTCTAACAAAAAAAAAAAAAAAAAAAAAAAAAAAAACAAAACCCACAAACTAATGCATTTTGTGTTTGTTTTATATTTCTAAATTTTTTTGTTTGGTTTCCAGTAGTCAGCTACCTTAATCTTTATATACAATGGAACATTGCCAATTTTTCTTAGCTTGATACTTGTATAATTAAATAACTCCAGTACTTTTCTCTCTCTCTCTCTTTTTTTTTTTTTTCTCTCCCCTTTAAAAAGCTGTTCTAGGACATTCATTACAATGAACCATTTCTTCCATGCTTGATACTAAATTAATCTTTTTTAGTTTACTGAGAATATCAGTGAGAATTATCTCCTTTTTTACATTATAATGGTAAGTTCATTCTTAATTTATTAGTAAATTATGAATACCTTTTTATTTTGAAATCTTTCGGATTGAAGTATTAGCATAGCTTACCTTTTTCCTCCTCCTGATCCTGTTCTTCTCCACCTTCATCGCCTTCATTTTCTTCCTCAGCCTCATTTTCTTTTTCGCCATTGGGCTGGGCCACTTCCTCCTCCTCTTCCTCTTCTTCTTCCTGAGGTGCATCTAACTGCATCATTCGCAATTCCTATTAAAGTATTTAAAATATGTTTTAATGATGCCGAAGAAGAATTTTTTAAATTAATTTTCTCTCATGTACATTCATGTAAATACATTTAGATATAAATATAAAAATAAAGGTTTCAGATGGTTGCAGCTTTATTATCATATTTCAATGCAGGTCAAGTTGCAAAAGGAAGGAGAAGAATGCTCACTTGCCAACATAAGAAAATTTAAGTGAAAAAGGTGTCACATATACATTTGGCTTTCATAAAAATAATACTGCTGCATTTCACATCACAAAAATTTATTATGTTACATGTTTTTATTTAATCTTTCATATTTTTTGTAATACTTCTTTAACACAGTTAATATTATACATAAAAATTATATTTAAGTAAAATTTTATATGTAACTAAAGTAATTTTTATCATTTTCAAAAACTCTACATAGTTATAATTAATATGTAAAGATAAAGAATGTTAAGACAAATTTTTTATTCATACTTGTCAAATGATAAATATCCTCAGTTAAGAGCTTTTGCTATAAGAAAAATTGCTTTGTTTGAAAGTTCATTTTTATGTGAAAAGTTTTTCAAACAGTTGAAAATCAAAAAGTCTAAAAAAAATCCAATTGTCTCTCTATTATTCATAACATCTATTATACATGATGAAAATGTTTATAGTTATTCTTCTCCAAGACCAGAAAATTTAAAAGAAACGAAACAATAGCAAGTGTCAAATTGGGCAGGTTCCAAAATTTGTTTCTTTTTAGGCTAAGTAAGTTATTCTAGCAGTTAATTAAACATATTATAATTATCTGAAATAAACATTTGTCTGAAAATCTAATATACAGTTGTCAATACATTTGAATTACAAAGTGTAACCAACAGAAAAGTCTTGCAAGTACCAAGCTTTAGTTTTCAGCTAGAAAATACTATAAACTTGAATTTTTCCTTTCCATTTACTATTATTATTGTTTATACACGTTTTGTCAGATTGTGCATTCGGCCCACAAGCAATTTCAGTTTGAGACTATTGTTCTAGAAGATTATTAATATAATGAGATATAGATTAAAAAGGAACAAGATCACCTTCACCGGTAAATTTTAACAATTTGAAGGTATAAATAAGTTTAGCTATGAAAACAAGACAGTGTTGATTTAAAAAAATACCTGAGTCTTGAACTCCATTTCATTCAAAGGTCTGTGACGAACAACAAGTTTGGAGTTTGAATTAGGTTGGGCACCAGGTTTTAACCTTCTCTTACTCAAACGCACTCTAGAGAAATGGAAAGTTTTCACATCAGAACAAAGTATGATTTTCATATAAATGTAATAATAATCTATACACATAATACATCATAATACTTACCGAGTTTCTAGTTCATTGTAATAGACACATCCATCTCGAAACACAAAGAAATAATTTTCTTCATAACCTTTAGATGCTTTATTTTTAACATTCCAGTTATATTCACGTGCCATTTTATATTCATACCTGTAAAATATTAAAGTTTTAATATCCCTGCCTTAAATTCTGAATAAAATTTGTACGATTAGTAGGTTTAGATTTATCTGTAATATAATCTTTACATACAAGCATTGTAAAATAATACTGCATCTGCCAATTTTACACATGAGAAAATTAAATAATCATATGTAATAAAAATACAGCAATATGTAAAACATGCAACCCATAAAAGAATAATAACTATAATAAAGTTTAAGAAAATAGCTATGTGAAAACAAAAAGTGTGTTCAAAATCAAAATGATGACTCAGCTTGTGGCATAAGTAAAATTATTTTCCTCCATAAAATCAGCCAAAAATATATTTCTACTTTGGAAATCATAAACAGCAAATAAAACTAACTTTTGGACATGAGAAATGTGCAGAAAGTGTACTTGCTGGGCAGCATGACTATCATTACTGTTGTCTTGAATCTTGTTCAGCGTTTTTAAGAACAAGTAAATTACAAGTGTTTTAAAATAAATTTTCTCAAAAGAATGAACAGAGTAGATTAGGTTTGACCATGGCAAAGCACACAAGGGCTATATGCCTAAGGGACGAGATGTTTTTGTGGAGGATCTTCTATGGGAAACAGGTTGATATTCATAATACATACAGCAAAAATGTAAAAACCAATTAATTAAGCAGTCGGCCTGTTTACCTGCATTTGAACCCAGATCAAAATACCAATATTCAGTATGGGGTGATAATAGTGCAGTTATGTGTTGGTAACTTTATTCATTGATGGGATAATAACCATGAAGATGATATAAGTATAATTACTGGTTTCATAGTTTCATCATTTGAAGTAATCCAACATCCAAAGAATAAATCAGGATTGTTTGATTTGAGAAAGCGGTGGAAGGTTACCACCATGTTGATGCTAATGAAAAGCGACACATATCCTTGAAAATTAGCACCAGCCAAAGTTTCATTCTAAGAAGTTATACATAATTAAATGACATTACTAAAAGGTTGAATTTCATTGGTTCGACAGAAAACTAATGCAAATCCTAGTTACCCAGAAGATTCTTTTCAGTGACATGATGCATTTATAAGTGGTCAAACTAACAAAAGAAAACAAAAATATAGACACTGCTTTGATTTACATTCAACACACATGGATCTCACCAAAACTAATTCAACACCAAAGTTATGATATGATGTAATTTGAGACACAAAAGATGCAAGATCTTCTTCTTCTTTTTTGTTTCTGATAGCATATTTACCATTACCAAGTATTTTAAAATTCTCCAAATAAGTATTTCCATCACTTTTCTATCCTGAGTATCTTTTTCAAGGACTTCTAGCAAGATGGTGTAAGCATATGATCCGCAGAATGGTTTCCCAGATTGCCTGTTATAATCCCACTACACTTTTATTTTATATTCTACTTAAAGAAATCACTCAATTAAAATCCTGAGCATTTACATTTCCAGCAGTGAATCTTTCATGCCTATCACAATATTTTCTCACGGGAAATATATACAGCACATGCCATTATTTTGTTTTTATCGAGTCGCATAATTTGTAAGCAATTGCTTAGTTCAATTTGATATATATATATAAAATAAGTTTTCTTTTTTAAAGAATGTACTACAATTAATTATGGAATAGATTAAATGATTACAAAAAATAATCTGACTTTCTTCAACAACACTAAGGACAAAATGCCTAAGAGTTTTCCAAATTTAAATATTCTATTAAACAGAAAATATTATACATTATTAGTTTTTTAATTTAAAGATATTTAAAAACCCACTTGCAACCTTGCAACAAAATTACTATCCTAAACAACATACTTTTAAAAAAATTGACTTACTCTTCATCATCTTCATATTCAACACCATTCTCAGCATCTCGCTTCCTTTTTTTCATAGTTTCTTCAGTTGGCAAGAAATAAGCGACAAACTGTTCACCACTTTCATCCATAACACCTCTTACATAGAAAAGAATGATATAATTTTCAGTTAAAAAAGTAAAACACTACATCAAAGTGCATATTAGTTTCAAACCTATGATTTCAAACAAAAAAAATTAAAACAAATTTTTAAAAGATAGTACAAAGCTGAATAAAAGAATATTATTTTTAATTAAAAAATAAAGTGCAATAAAGCATGTAATAGTTTGCTTAGGATATTACACAATAAAAAAATTTATAACAAAATTTTAAAAGGTATTTTAGGTAGCTGAATATGAAAGAAATATAAGCAAGGAAATGCTTGCGTTAAATATAAAATGCTTTAATTGCATTTTAAAATTTAAAATTTGCATTTTAAATTGCATTTTAAATGCTTTAATTGCATTTTATATTTACCATATGCATTAATTAAACAGAGTTGATAATATTTTTTATCAAGTTGATAATATTTTTTATCACTCTTGTTTACAAGATGCAAAAAGCTGATTTTACAAACAGAGAAAATTTTATGAGAGTTATAAAGTATTTTGTGATGTTAGAAATTTAAAATTATAGATATATGTGGAATATTTGAAATTCATAGTGGCATTCGAAAGGAATGAAATGCTTGGCAACCCTTCTTGCTTGCTCTGAACGCCTTCTGACGGTAATGAGGAAGGCTGCAGATAGAATTAGAATGCCATAGTCCATGGTTATAACTTAATGAAGGAGTTCCTAATATGACAAGATACATATTTGGATCCCCTTTCAAATCATGCTTAGTAGCATAGGACAGAAAGCAATCAAAAGCCATGTCAACAGTGTTAAAGCATAAGAAAATCATTTCTATAATGAGCCAGTTGCTGAATCATCAAATTTAAAGTCATTCATAACTAAGAACAAAGTGTTAGCTACAGAATTACTGTGGGATGTGAAACTTGTTTGTTCACATGTTTCTTTTAATATGTTTAATGATGCTACTCTTCTGTTCCAGAAAATGTCTGATGACAGCAACAATAAAGCTAAAGCTATGATCCTAGGATGTATAAAAATGTCGTATTTAGGATTTGATTTAAATCCATACTAAAAAAAAAAAAAAAAAAAAAAAAAAAAAAAAAAAAAAAACACTCATTTCTGATATTAAACGCACTGAATTCACAATATGCTTAAAACATGCATCAATTTTCTGGATATTAAATCATCAGCTTATATCTAGTAAGATGGCATGTAGAAATTATAAAATTAAATATATGAAATAATGAAGTATTTATGATCTAAAGGGTATCAAAATTTACAAAAAAAAAAAAAAAAAAAAAAAAAAAAAAAAAGCTTAATATTTATTTGTTTACCTTATTAAACATTTCTTTCATTGTAAGTTGCTTCGTTTTTTTGTGCTAATACATTCTCTTTAATTCTGTAGACAGATATAATCTCTTGTTTAGTTACATTGCTGAAGTCCTGTAACTGCTGTTTCGAGAATTCCGACTAACTTGTCAATCGATATTTTCTCGTTTTCAGTAACTTCTCTGTCACTTTCTTCACTATCGGTAGCAGTATTTTCTGGATCTAGAACCATACGACAGATTTCGCCATTCATTAACCTTTTCGCAACGGCACACTTTTTTTAAAGACGCTCGTGTGGAACGGAAGGGAATCAAAGGCAGTCACCGTACAGGACGGAGGTTTTGCATCGATAAGCCTAATTTTATAAAAAAAATCAGAAAAAAAAAAGTTTCACTTCTAGCCTCGAAATTTTTGGTATCATTTTAGATTATTACTTGAGCTCTTATATATGTTAAAATTAGCACTTAATAATTTTTTTTTATTTTATTTTACATGAAAATATACTTAAAAATTTCCTTATCTTGTAAAATAATTTTCGGAAGCGCTATTCAAATTATTCCAAAGTTTTAATTGATAAAATCCATCAATACAGTCTAAAATTAATAAAACAACACAATAAAGACTATTTACAGTATGAAGTAACAAAATTTAAAATGAAGACTGAGTGTGGTAAATCTCGAAGCACGGAGAAGTATCACTTTCTAACTCTCAGAAAAAGTATCACTTTTTAAATCTTTAGAAAAAGAATCATCACTCTCATCTGCATTAGTAAATGGTTCCTTAACCATATGAGGGTATTCTTCCTCTGATAAATAGCGCCTTCGCGGCATAATAGACTAGAGGTGAGACTTCCCGAAATAAAAAGAGAAAAAACGGGAATATATCTGAAGTCAATGCAAAACGTGAACAGTACCCCACATACTAACACTAAAAGGCCATCCATAGTAAAGGAAAAAACAGAATAAAAAAAGGAATTTGATATAAATTAAACATGCGAATGTTTTCATTAGCACGCTGCGCAATTTAAAGAGCTCACCTCTGTTTACGCTTTCACTTCCCCCCCACCCTTGCAAGAGATGATGAGTAAAATATCAAAGTCAAGCAGAATGTATCAAACGCAAGGTCATGAACCTAAAACTGTGTTCATTTGAAAAGTAATGGACATAGAATGCCATCTAGTGGCTTTCAAAAAAACGTTCTAGCTTAAAATGCGTATACGCATCACCCGTCCTCTGAATGCAGTCTCTATCGATGCATGAATGGGATGCCCGGCTGTAACAGACGTTCTTAGGAAATGCGTATATGGGACACCCGTCCTGAAAGGGTTAATTGATTGATGATTGAGAAGCATTATCATCACAATAAAAAACTTCTTTTATATCATCTTCATTTATTACCACTTCTCTACATTTCTTTACAAAATCCATTAATTGAAAAATTTCACCTTTGTTTTAAGATATCCAAAAACCTTTAAAATTAGCAGCTATCATTATCAAATTTAGCTATCCTTCACTATACATATTTGGCTATGCATCATGAGCTTGGCGACTAACGACAAGTTGTTCTGTTAAATTTTATCTTGCATCTATCATCGAGACAATTCAGCCTGAATTGTATTAGTTTTGTTACTTATTATACATATGTCTATTTCTTGCACATGCTTAAGGCTTATCACAGTTCTGAATAAATAAATTCCCACATATACTTAAGCCTTATTGAGGGCTGGCGCTAGATATCTTATCGCCTGATGCAGTCTCTGTGGGTCCTAAATTCTGCGACTTGTTGCGGTCATACGAGCCTTGGCGCTGGTTCTGGGTTTATGTGAATAACAAATCAGTTATTCTCAACTCAAATACCCTAAACGCAATCTTCGAGTCTATGAATATCATCACCAAAATCTATTTTTAGCATAGAGAAAGAAATTTTTGGTAAATTTTTCCTCATCAACATTTTTAGCGCATTTAACTTAAATTTATAATCATTGCCAAGCGTAATATAACATAAAAGTTTACCATACTCCTTTATTATTCACAGGGTTCATAGCCACATTTTAGTTCAAAAAATAAGCACCTATAAGCACTTTTCAAGCACATTTTAAGAAAAAAAATAAGCACCTGTCTAATTACATTATACACAACTGCATAACTTCAAAAATTAGACTCGTAATTTAAAATATGAGAAATGCAGTATTTATTAAGAGAGAATAAGCATGGGGGACAAGAGAATAAGCATGGGCAGAGAAAAGGGGAACCTCAACCATGGAAAATAATTACTTTTTTTAAAATTTTAAATAACAGTTCAATTTACAGAACTAGTTTACAATAAAGAGAAAAAAAAAAAAAAACTATGCACAACTAAACTATATTTACAAGATTTAATGATGAAATTTCAGTTCAAAATAGAGATAGAGGAAATAAATAATAATAAGGCATATTTATTCTATTTGCACTTGGAACCTAATAATAAATACAATTTATTTTTCCACTCATATTGATATTTAACTTTTAAATCTAAATTCTGAACATTTTCTAAATTTTCATTGTATATCAGTTTTTCCTTAACAGATATTGCAAGCAAAAGTAATTTAAGCAAAAAAAGAGGAACATTTCTGAAATCAGAAGACAGAAATTTGCTTCATGCAGTCATCCTTTAAACAGTAAAAAGCTTAAACTACCCGCATACTTGAAAATTGGCGAATATTCCGACAGTGGTGCGTAACTTGAAAAAGAGGAGCGGAGGGGGGGGATAGACTGTAGACCTTCTTTAGATTTTTCCACGCTAAATAAATGCTTTTGACATTTCGATATGTGCAACATATAAAAACAAACCAACGGAACAGAAAAATATTCTGCTTAAGCAAACACAGTAAAACTCTTTTAAGTGTTCATAAACAAATCTCGCACTGCAAACATCAAAATTAATTATCTCTGCAAAATATCGCATAAACGTTATTGCTCAATATGTGCGCCATAATTCCGATATTACGCAATCGGATTCAACAGCTGCCGATATTGGGAGAATAAAGAACTAAATCAAGGAAAAGAAAGAGACTTGGGGTGTTTTTCATTCTAATTTTCAAGAGACTGCGTTAAATTTCCGGAATACAATCCTTCTTCGCTTGGGTTGGTAGACCGCAAAACTTTTAGTCCTATTCAATCCAGATTGAAAAGTGACTGACAAAAAAAAAAAAAAAAAGTCGTTGCTTGTTTTTTGTAATGAACTGTAACAGTTTCAATATTCGAGATTTTGCGGAGAAAGGGGAGAACCTCCCAACCTTTGTACTGTATAACGTATTGGCCAAAAAAAAAGAAATTATTTTGACTATTCGATTACTTTCCCTTTATTTACGCCATTCAAATGTTATTCATTAGAAAGCTAATCTTTAAAACACAACCATTTTTACTATACTTCAGCTGTTACTGCAACTATGTTATAATAAACATTCATACATATGCTCATAATAGAAGCATATGATCATAATAAACACGAATATGAACTGACCAAGCGGAATGAGAATGCAAATTATTAAGATCTTGATAGAAATTCAAACGTGTGTAGTATTTGGATGGGAGGAAACAAATGCCAAATGTACCGGAATTTTCTATTGCTTTCGCAATTCTTTGACCAACAGAACGACGGGCACCTGTCTGTACTCTCCGCGCATACCAGAGGTTACGTTAATGCAGAGAAAGGGG